TAAAACAAATGTTAAAAACTAAAATACATGCACCCAAGAGATAATCTGATTAATTGATAAGTTATAATAGTGCAGCAGACCAAACACGTGTTCCAATATCATTCCACAAAGAAACAAAAAGAGATGCAATCAAATCATATAATTATTGTATCTTTACATCATTAATACAGAAAGCATTAACCCATCCTTTCTGATACATTCTTTAAGGATCCAATGACTTCAGAATTAATTTTAACCTCAGGACCAAAGCAACATTTTAAACATTTTTAAAGATTTGCATCTATTGATGTTCCATTATTGATAGTGTCAATTGTTCATCCCATAAGTCATAATGTCAGTTATTTTCAACTTCAAATATATTTTTAAATTTCTGCTTTAGGTGCAAAATTAATTTGATTTCAGAACAGGCTCCATCAAAAATGATAGCATCTTGGGGCTCTTTGGGTTTGCTTAGATATCTGTTTCATTTTGAGCAATCAAAACATTTAAATTGGTTTATATTGCCAGAGTCATGAATTAGGCAATGAAAATTCTACCTGAAGTTGTTGACATTCCTTAAAATAATCATTACAGTAATTAATTAAAATAATGATTCCAGAGTTTGCCTATACTTTCCAATAGAAAGTCTTATCTCTTATATTTACAGTAGACTTCTTCCATAAAATAAATATTCATGAGATTAGTAGATGGCCCCAAATATAGCTATTTGCTTGCAAACCAGGAAGTGAAAGACTGTTTTTGCTACGTGGGATTGATTGAAATCATTGCTAAGATCTTAAGAGAAATACATAACAACTTTCCAATAAAATGTATAAAAGTTGGTATTCAGTTAAATTCTCATTCTGCATAAATATAAATGATAACATAAATGTCTAGTGATATTTTTGAGATGCTGGTAAAGTAAAACTCCTTTATCAAAGATAATTTCAGCTTAGCCAGTAAAATTCCTGGTAGAGTATTTTCCCATATAAATTTCCTCAACAGTCTCTTGATCTTAATAAAAATAACTATTTGGAATTAACAACAGTATATATCTTTAAAAAGTGCATCACTTAGGTAGTAATAGTCATTTTAATAACATTAAATGGATTTTAAATTCATCCATTGGTTATTAGAATCTTACTTCTAACATTCAATATACTAATTTTGAGATGTTTTTAAAATTGTATAAATCAAAATATTTAATATATTCTGTACACATTACGAAGCCCAACAACTTATATCGACCTGTCTATAAATCAGATTCCAGAGAAAGTAAATTAGATTGTCCCAATTAATCTTATAGCTTGAATATTTACCATTAATCAAGTGAGGCAATAAATTAGAATATTCATACAATATTGTCCAAATATCAGCAACATGTAAAATAATTACATTCTGAATCTGAATAGCATGGTATCTGCCAGTATAATACCAGTAATATTGCAAGATTGCCTGAGAATAATTGTTAATGGCTCAAGAATTAGGTCATAAACCAACAGAGCAATTGGGCAACCATAACAGTTGCCATGCTATAACTCAACTGATAACGCAACTGGTCTAAAAATTAAAAATGTTATTACACTTGCTATTGGTTTCAAATAATAAATTTCAATCCATTTAATAAAAGAAGATGGGAATCCATACCTACACATATCTTGCTTAAAAAAATTAAGCTTACCCAAGTCTAAAGCTTTTTCAACATCCCAAAACATTAACATATCAGAATCCAATTTATCTTGAGCTATATCCAAAATATCTATTTATGAGTGTAAATTATCTGATGCTATTTGGTTTTGAAAAATCCAGACTGAGTTGGATGAATTATGCATGGTGAAACTCTCTGAAATCATCTGGCCAAAAAGCAATAAATATTCTTGCATCTACCGTATGGATCCATAAATTGTACAAAATTCAAAATCTTTACCTGCTTTTAAAATCAGTGGTGTAGAAGCCTCATAAAAAGACAAAGACCATTTACTGGATTTAAGTAATTCATTATAGACCTGTGACAATAATGGGTCAACAAATCTACAAAACATTTATACCATTGGACAGAAAAGCTGTCCAATGGAACTTTCACATTTTATCTTCAATATGTCTTGCAGTTTTAAAGATACCTTCCGAGAAATCAACAGATTGGATAGCAATGTCTTAAAGTTACCCTATTATTATATTTAAATAATGTGAAATAGAGACTCGGGGTTTGAAGGATTTGAAAGTTTAGATTCTATAGGGTGGGAGAACTGAAACTGTCTACTTGATTTTGGAAGGAAGAAGGACTGAGACCAACCAATGCAGGGAATCATAAGCCAATGAGCATAAACTCACCTTCCCTCTTTTCTCAGTGAAATGGTGGATGCCTGTTCGCTCCTTCTCTACATTATTCAACGCCTGGATAGATATAAAAGGAAATCAGGAAATGAAGGCTAATTACAAAAGCTGAGGGAGAAACGACTGAGGTAGAGGTCATTCATGATCATAGGGGTGATTATGAGATGTCTAGGCTTCCAACACTCCCATTTCTATGTACTTCTAGCTTCTTGACTTACCGTTCAGAATGAAACATTTTACACATGTCAAAGCTGTTCTTGAATGGTGTTGGATTAAAGGGAAAATTCTACTATTATAGCAGTGTAATTAATGATAGCTGATGCCTATCTCCTCCATTAGGGAGAAGATAAGGGCAACACCATGGAGACAAGGCCCAAACTACATTAATGTCCACTCACTTTATAATAAGGGATACTTAACAGTCACATCCAAAATAGTGGAAAACTAGACATTTTGAAAAGCTTCAGCAAATAATGGATTCTTTGTTGTAGCATATATCAAACCGAGTATCATCTCTCTCTTGATCATCAACATAGGCTGTTTGAAGAAATCTCATTTGAATTCAGCCTGTGCTGATAGCAGATGTTATTATATCTTTGCAGACAGATTGTTTTTTTGTCTCTTGAAATCCATTTTAATCAAAACATCAATTTTCTAAGATAGAAAGAAGCACATTTCATTCCCTAAGCGCATTAAAGGAATTGGGATGCTGTTGTTGATCATCAGTGGGATTATGGAAATATGCAAATCTCAGAAATGAATAAATAAAAATAAGTACGCTTGGCTTGTGAGTATGCTAGCTTGATAGCACCTTGACATCTGTGAGACAATTCTAATAGTTTTATTGCTGATGTAGAAATGGAATATCCCCTAGAGGGCACTATTAGCAATTATATTACCACGGAACTGATAATATCTCAGACTGAATATGAATGGTTAATGAAGTTTGTGTGTTGAGGCCATTGAGCAGTAATGTTACTATGTTTTGTTCAAGAAAAGCATATTCATTTTGGGATCAATTGCCCAGAGCATGGATTTTACTGATGTGCAACACAGGCAGCTGCTCATGGTGATGATTATTTGAAGCTTGTAATAGTACAAATTGAGAACTTTGTATGGGGTATGTTCAGGGCTTTTTTTCTCATAGAACGCCCAGAACGGAGTTCCGGCACCTTTTTTGGATGGAACCTTGTAGGGTAGGCAAGGCGGGTTGTATGACATGTGTGAGTTCCGGCACCTTTTTTTTTTTTTTTTTTTTACAAAAAAGCATTGGGTATGTTTATGTGTATCTGTATACACACACACACACACACACACTCCTATTCAATGAATCAACATGCAATTGGTTGGATTCATAATCATGGTTTTATATATCAAGTTACAATGTAGTTTGATTATTTCTCATGCAATGTAAAAATAGCCATTATAGTTTGTAAACATGGTTTATGTTTTAATAGCATATAAGAAACCAACCTTTATATCGTATTCAACAATTGATGATTAAAGCCAACTCCTAGATCAGTGCAGCATGTGAACCTAACACTCACTTTGTGGGATTAAAAAAAAAATAGGAAATCCTATTTTTAAACACATAATTGGACATACCATTGGAATTGAAACTATATTTCTCAAATTATACTTAGGTTCCCCTCCAAGGAGCAAGATTTTCAATTAATACAGGTGTAATGTAGGAGTTCTTTGATCAGATCACTCTTTCCCTGTGTGTATGGTGCTTCAGGGAAGTAAAACTACTTTCCCATCTCGTTTTCCAAAGTTGCCAGTTTGGAAGATGCCAGTTGCCAGTGATGCTAAGAACATCCATACAAGGATGGGACCGAGGGATGTGAATTGGAGAAATGGTTCATTGATAGCCTTAAAACCCCTCTTCCCTGCTCTAAAGTAGAAGGCTGTTTGAAAGGATTTGCCCATGAACTTAAGCAGAGTACTGGAACAATATCAAGTGATTTAAGCAGAAAGACATCCCATTTAAAACACTGCTCCTAACCAAAAAGAATATCATTGTTGTGGAGGCAGAGGATGAATGCAAGCAGACATTCACTACATTTGATTTAAAACCTAGATTTGTTAAGAACTACAGAAAAGCCTCACTTCTTCTACCTATAGAGAGGGAAACCCAAGAGAAGGAGGAGAACAGTCCCTTTGTCTCTTAAGCATAGAGACTTTGTTTCAGTATCAATAAGACAGCTGAGAAATACACACAGGGGCAGCATAGGAAGTGAAGACTCTCCACTTCATATTTCTGCCCATTTGTCCTAGGTTTCCAGTGGCTCATGGGTGCAAATAATTGATGCCATCATCTTTATTAAAGTTTGGAAATCTGATCATAGGTATCACCCATTATTAAGTCACTTGGCTTAAGTTGAATTTGCCTAAGTTTAAACAAAAAACAGTTTTTTTCTGAAGAATTAGGGTAGTTACAGCAGAAAATAGTTTGATGCATATTAAGTTGGTGCATATTAAGAATACATTCACCTCTGTGGTGTCAATGCCACAGTTCCCATTCTTCTGGGCTTAGAAAAATGAATTCTGGAGCAACAACAATTGTTTCAAAGTATTCCTCAGAGTGTTCCTATTTTAGCGCTATGTAACAGGGACTCTTGGCTTCATCCCTTAATCTTTTTTCAATATATCAGTCTGGCTTCTCCTCTGTTTTTTGTTTCTCACAGCAAGAGCACCTTGGAGAAATCTGCTTCTCACTGCGATACGTTCCCAGTACCAGCAAATTAACGGTAGTTATCTTGGAAGCCAAAAAGCTCAAGGTTATGGACGCAGATGGATTATCAGGTATGAAGGACAGATTCCCAAGGCTCATTGTGGAGAGCAGAGGAATGTCATGCTGATGTAGAGCCTGTTAATGCATGTTGCTGAAATGGATCCTGGAGTCCCATTATATTTTGAACCTCTTTGGTCTAAAGCAGGGGTCTTCAAACTTGGCCCTTTTATGACTTGTGGACTTCAACTCCCAGAATTCCTCAGCCAGGCACGCTGGATGAGGAATTCTGGGAGTTGAAGTCCACAAGTCATAAAAGGGCCAAGTTTGAAGACCCCTGGTCTAAAGCAACAGGTGAAGGCCCATATTAGCTCTCTTGATTTGAATTATTGCTGATCTTGGCAGCAGGGAAGATACAACATGGCATAGATCTCTGTTGTAAGGACTACAATCCTCTCTTGCATCATGAAAGTGGGTGAGTTTGTCATAGCTGCTGTTATTCACATCACAGTGCTCTGGAAGAGAGATAGGAGAATTGTATTAGTTATATTTAGTTACTAATTGTATTAGTTATGGTTACCCAAAATCAGAAGGAATTTTCTGACTAGCACATTTTATTAAAAGATAAGAGCTTTTGTGAGCTGCAGTTCATTTCATCAGAGGCATAAGTGGATCTATGTACCTGATGAAATGAGCAGCAGGTTAGAAAAGCTGATGTCGTTTCATAAAATTTGTTAGTCAGAAAAGAAGGCTATTGCAGGGGTCTTCAAATTTGGCCCTTTTATGACTTGTGGACTTCAACTCCCAGAATTCCTTAGCCAGGCACGCTGGCTGAGGAATTCTGGGAGTTGAAGTCCACAAGTCATAAAAGGGCCAAGTTTGAATACCCCTGGGCTATTGGATTCCTTCTGATCATCAGGACAAAAGGAGATTACTATTATGTTTGTAAGAGCCGTGGTGGTGCAGTGGTTAGAATGCAGTATTGCAGGCAAATTCTGCCCACAGCCAGGAGTTCAATCCTGATGGGCTCGAGATTGACTCAGCCGTCCATCCTTCTGATGTCACTAAAATGAGGGCCCAGATTGTTGAGGGCAATATGCTGACTCTGTAAACCGCTTAGAGAGGGCTATAAAGCACTGTGAAGTGGTATATAAGTCTAGGTGCTATTGCTATTGCTATTTTTGTTTAAGAAAAGGGAGCCATGTAACATTTGAGGAATATGATTTGTTCTGGTTTTGAAAGCTGGTGGGGATGAATTACACTTTGTCCCAAAAACTCACAACAGCATTACAGTCTCATAATGACCTTTTCAGGAAGATCAGTTTTTTTTCCCTCCAAGAGAAATACCTAGTCAACCCACAAGGCTCCTGGCAGAGCCACCAAGCTTTATAATAGAGCAGCTAATGTTTGAGTTAGGATTTTTGTATGGAGATCCAAAAGGCTGCAATATGGTGTTCAGAAACACTTTAATGTCTGGGGAAAATTCTTTTTGAATTAAATTGCCTCCACTATTCTTTGCTTTACTTTCCCCGCCAGACCCATATGTCAAAGTGCAACTTATTCTGAACAAAAAGAAATGGAAGAAAAAGAAGACAACTGTGAAGAAAAAAACATTAAGCCCCTACTTCAATGAAGCTTTTGTTTTTGAAGTGCCTTTCAACTTGATCCAGGTAGGCCCAGTGGAAGCCATTTCATAGCAGATCCATGTTATGGGAGAGCGAAATAGTCTCTAGAAGCACCCTTGCTTTCGCAGATGTTTTGAGCTCAACTTATTTAGGCCTGCTGTAAGAATGTACCTCCTTACACTCCTTGATTAATGACGGCCCTGTTTGCAATTATTTGAAGTTACAGTGGTATTGAAAAAGCAACTTTATACCTGGTTCTTGTGTCCCACAGTCATGTGATCACCATTTGCACAGCTGGCTTCCATCAAGCAGCGTCAATGGAGAAACCGGCAGTAAAATTGCAAGTCACGATCATGTGATGTCTCGCTTAGCTATATGGTTGATTCTCTTAGCAACCACAATGGAAGTGAGGTCCTATCTCGGTTGCGGTCATGTGATACGTTGCTTAATGACCATGTGACTTAGCAATGGAAATTCTGATCCCAATTCAGATTGTTAAAAGAGAGATACTTGTACTGAAGTCTACTTTGGTTCTTATTGTGACTGCAGTCCTGATATTGTGCTTCTCTTTTGTTTCAAGAGGCTTAAACTAAATTAACATACTAACTAAGAAAGAAAGAAAAAATATCAGCACCATATTTAAAACCTATCATAATGGTGTCAATCAGGGTTAGAGGAGGCTGCTCATTTGACATCTTGCAGCAGCATTGTAAGTGCTATTTTGTCAGGGTGCGTTGCGAGGCACTGCTGCAAAGTTTAAAGTCCTCCACCTACGAATCTTTATTATGCAGCTCTTCTTAAGAAGGATTTGGGCTGTCATTTCGGAAATAATAATGAATTGAGTAGAAAGGAGAAATAGAAAACTAGTAAAGCTGTAATGGTAGAAAGGCATGGACTCCCCCAAATGTCCCCCTTGTAGAGGGCACTTTGTAAGGAGATACGGAATTTCTCTGTTTGCATTGCAAAACCCCATCTTTCTCCCTTGTTTCCCCTTCCTTTTCCTCTTTTCATCTCTCTGCTTTGTAATTTTCATTCTAGAATGTAGACCTGGTGATCTCTGTGTGGGATCATGACAAAATGACCAAAGATGACCAGATCGGAAAGCTGTTTCTTAGCTGCCGAGCTACAGGGAATCAGTTGCGCCATTGGTCCGATATGCTGGCTAATCCTCGCAGGCCTATGGCACAGTGGCACAGTCTGCAGCCTGTGGAAGTTATTGACAAAACTCTGGGACTGAAGACACGCTTCAAGCTGCCACTACCCACCAGCTAACCCACCCTCTAGGCCTCTCCACTCCAGAAGGAAACCCATAGCTATTATTTATAAAGGGAGACATGATAGTACAACTCACCACATCATGGTCAGTTAAAGATGTAGATTCTAGACAAGGGGAGGCAAGGCTAGGGATTAGCCCAATGTAGCCCACATTTAGGTAAACCAGCAGTTATCTCAGGGCACCCTTCCATCAGGATCATTCCTCTGAAGAGGATTTGAACTACCGCACAGGTCTCTTTATTGGTGTTCTCTGGGGCTGGAGAAGATAAGGAAGCAAGAGAATGACAGGTTATCCTGTTGGCCAAAGTGGGAGATTAAGAAAAATCAGTGCACCAACCTGCACATTTCTCTTTTAATGTCTTTAACATGGAGACATTTCACATGGAGTCTGAAAAAAACCCATTGCCTGTGTAAATTGGGATGGTTGGGTGGGAAGGAATGGCAAAGCCCTGTTGCACTTTAGGAAGAAGGGGAGAGCAGGGTGGAATGGAAAACTGTCTGCCCCATAGCGTCAGAGCAAACATAGCAACGTAGCAGAACTGGAAGTTAATCAACTCATCAGCTGATGATTTCCCTAAGACTAAAGGTCTTCTGAAGACACAGAGATACAATCTTGTGACTCCAACAACATTTTTTATGTACTGTAATGTATTATCTTGGATTGAATCTACTGTTTTAAAAAAACTGGAAAAAACCCCCCACCATGTAGCCTTTCAAAATCAAACTGTTAACATATCAGTATATAGACTTATGCGGGTCAGTTGTTTTTCTTCTAGGTTGAAGGGGAAAACAAAACTTGAAAATAACCATGGTTAGAGTTGTGCTCTCTTATTAAATATTTTAAAAATAATTTGCCATTCAAGCTATGTGTGCAATCGTCTATAAACCTGATTGTTAAACTCAAAGGAAGAAATAAATGTTTCTTTTGGCATTGCTAGCAGCTGTTTTTTTTCCTGAAAACTTAAAAAAAAGGGTTCAGATGAAACAAATGCAAATAATGATTGCATATATGAAATGAATAATTTAAATGGTAGATTCTTTGTTCTCAAGTATCAAAAGAAAGGCTATCCTTCTAGCTCTTTGGGGATGCATCAATGCCTCCTTGCCTGATGGGGTGCTTCAAGATGGACTATTAATTGGATAGCAGGAATCCTAATTTCCCACTATGCTTGTACCTCAGTTTCTCTGGGCTACTCCCATTGTGCATTTACGTGACATATATGTTTTTTCTTCTTCTTCTTCTTCTTCTTCTTCTTCTTCTTCTTCTTCTTCTTCTTCTTCTTCTTCTTCTTCTTCTTCTTCTTCTTCTTCTTCTTCTTCTTCTTCTTCTTCTTCTTCTTCTTCTTCTTCTTCTTCTTCTTCTTCTTCTTCTTCTTCTTCTTCTTCTTCTTCTTCTTCTTCTTCTTCTTCTTCTTCTTCT